AAAAAAAAAAAAAAAAATAAAAATAAAAATAAAAACCGAGAAAATTATTAGAAATGATTCGTTCGACTTACCTAGTCGAATGATCGACGAAGGATCCGCCGTCGAGGAGTCTGAGCTTAGCGAACAGTACTGCGTTCACGAATGGCACAGCGGTGAGCTCCTCCAGGTCTACCTCCACGGAGAATTTGTACTTCTTCTTCTTCATCATGAAGGCCATCTCACTGAGACCGAGACACTTCACTTTGACCACGGCTCGCTCTCGTGGTTGAACTCGACCGGAGAACGTCCACGATTCTCCAGCCTCCCCGTTACTCGAAAATCCTCGACGATTCTCCCGGGCAGAGAACGTACAACACGGTACACAGCACGCGCGGCCGAAGCGGAAATTGTGCACTAAATGCGACCATTTAACTCGGCTTTCTCGCTAACAGCAACTAGGCGATTCTCGGGCAGGGGAGACGGGGGAGGGGAGGGGTCCGTTTCACTAATTAACGTTAGATACTATTTACCAAAATATGTCTTCGCGTTTTCTACTTTGCTACAAAAAAAGGCAGTTCCACGATCCTCCCTTTCCTTTTTTTGATCTTCTTTCGTCGAACGACCGGTCCCTCCAACGACCTTGGATCGTCGCTTTTCTTTTCTTTTCTTTTCTTTTCTCTTTCTTTTACAGGCTTTACATCACTCTCGATGCCAAGCGACGAAAAAACTGCTGAATACTTGAAGCCGGCTGGGCGGATCTTGTCCGAAGCTTCACCAGCATCGCTCCACTCCCGCTGCCGGCACTCACAAACGGCGATTACTCGTGCACGCCATCCTGGTCGTCGAAACTGCAAATTAAATCGAAGGTTCAACGCTCATGGAAAGTTTTTGAAGAGTTTCGGCAATAAAAATCGAAAAAGCTTTTTGGACAGGAAAGATCGTGGCGTGTTCCGTGTGTGCGAGACGTTTAACCACTTGCGCTGGCAACTGACTGCGGACCATAACGAGTGACCGAACCGTATACAATAATTCGTCGCATTCCTTTCGAACTCGTTGAGTATGATATCGCCGGATAGAAAATTATTGAGAATAATTAACGAATTTATTATTTGTTTAATGGGTTATACTTAAATGTACTTAAAACTGAGAAAATATTGCAATTTTGGGCGAAATATTCTCGAAGTGCGCTTAACCTTTTGCGCTAGTAAACTGGTTCGCGGACCAGATCGTATACAATAATTCGTCGCTCTCTTTTCTTTAACTCTCGTCGGTATGGTACCACCAGATAGAAATTATCGAGGAGTAATAAATTTATTATTTGTTTTGCCTATTTTGTTTTACTTAAATATTCTTAAAGACTGAGAAAATATTGCAATTTTGGGACAAAAAATTATCGACGTGTGATGGCACGCCATTCCAGCGCAAGAGATTAACCGGATGTAACGCGTGTTCAAACCTTGAGCGATAATATCCGTGGTAATCTGAGAACCATGTATCTGGAAGCTTTCGTGGCGAACTATTAAAAAAGAGGAGGGAGAGGGGGGGGGGAGAGAGAGAGAGAGAGAGAGAGAGAGAGAGAGAGAGATCGGTAATGTTACTACACAGATCCCCGTTTTACTTCTAAAATTCTTTCGAAACAGATGTTTGTGCCTAGCTCGTGTCCATTTAACCTTTTTTTTGAAAAACATGTACTTGCGCGTACAAGTATTATTTAATTATTTTCAAGTTGCGACGAGTATACTCGACAGAGAACGCATTTCCTGCGAAATTGAAATAAATTAGAATAAAACGACAAAATTTTCCAGCTTTTTTTCATTCATATTTTATTCTGAATATTTGTTGCCACTTCGTTATATTATTTCACGCAAAATTATATATATCGTGCCGGAGCATTCTAAAATACGTTAAAATTAAATAAATTTAAATTAAATAAATTTTAATTATATAAATTTAAATTAAATAAATTTTAATTATATAAATTTAAATTAAATAAATTTTAATTATATAAATTTAAATTAAATAAATTTTAATTATATAAATTTAAATTAAATAAATTTTAATTATATAAATTTAAATTAAATAAATTTTAATTATATAAATTTAAATTAAATAAATTTTAATTATATAAATTGTATAAATTTTACTTTAACAGCGAATGAAAATTTTTTTTTCTCAATTTTGAACTATTAAGTAATATTTTTATATCATTAATTTGTTCTATACAAATTCAAACCTAAACCAAACAAATCAGTTATTTCTTATTAAATATACAGTGCAAATCTATTTTAAACAACGAATTACTCCATTTATAATATTGGAATTAGTCTAGAGTTTTTACGAATTATATTTACAACCCATTTTCGCCGATGTTTAATACAATTACATACTACTTCGCTAGCAACGTTTACTCTAAAGTGATCTTAAAGTTATTTATATTTCCACTGTTCGACATTCTAGTTTTCTACGAAGAACGATCTAAGAGCTATTTATTATCAAACGGCATAGACGATTCGCGTTCAGCAATAGAACGAATTTCCAAGAACGAAAAGCGCCACCAAACAAATAGCAACCTAACGAGTGTTCGCGGGTGAACGTTCGCCGACATATGTCACTGAACCTTTCATCGACATTTTCAATGAGCACGTTCAATGCAACCTCGCAGCGAAGAAAGCACAACTGTATCAGTGACAGTGAAAAATTCTCGATAATTCAAAACTTTGTAAAATTTTCATATAACTTTGTAAAGATCATATAATGATCTATGTACTTGGTCTCACTTTAAGTGCATAATTCAGTCATTCGTATCAATGTCAAATAAGTAACACATCTGAAAAAAACATAATAATAACAGTCCATTCATAAAATGACAAATACATAAAGGTATAAGTATGTAATTCATTTTACACATAGAAACAAGAAATAATACTATTGTCATCACTTTCATATACTATTAATCTTTTCTTCCTGATTGGCATGATGTCTAAATATATACAGAGCCAAAATGTTCACTTTTATTTTCTTCTTTCTATTTTAAAAACCGCGTAAAAACGAAAAATTCGTGTAAATCGGGGGATAGGTGTATTATCATCGTATTATCATCATACAGTTCGAAATGTTATCCGAATAATTGTGTGTTCGAATAAGCTTTATTCGAATAAAATTGTTAATTTATTCGAAATTTTATTCGAAGAATTTATTCGAATAATGCCAACCTCTGATCCTATCCCCCTTGAACTTTTTCCGAATCCGATTCGAAATCGTCGGACTACCTGCCCGACTCGAACCCGAAAATTTCGGGTACCAGCGCACCCCTAACAGTTAATGCTTTTCACTGTCCATCACACGATCAGAATCAAGCAGGCAGTAGTCGCGTCGCGAGACGCCGATTGTTTTGAGAACGCCAGAATGCAGCTGGGAATGCGAGCAAGCGAAAACGAACGCGCTTCTTCCTGGAGTCGGGTTTCTAGTTTGCGAATTAGGTGACTGGACAGGCTGTTCCACGGCGTGGCCACCGGAGCAGCTAGCTCTGCCCGGAGGCGCGACGCCGCTCCGGCGTACAACGAATTATTAACGACCCTCGATCACTCTTTCGTCAATCGCCTCAGACAGAGAGAGCGTTCACACCGAGAGGAGTGTGCGTAGTTGGTGAGACAGATATAATAGCGAGGGTTTTAAAATTGGTCGGACGTTAACATCTGCCAACCGATGGGAACGAGTTGACTTGCCTTTCGACAATTTCTTGTTTATAATGATCTTTTCTTCTTTGTTTTATTTCGGCCTTTTATTGACACACGTCAATAAAAGGCCGAAACCGACGTGGACTAATGAAAGATCAATTGGTTTCGTGGTTCCAATCGGACAACGTTCAGCACCGAGACGGTTTTGAGTGAACTATCCCAAAAATGCCGTATGTATAGAAATGATACACGATACAAAGTTTGTAGAAATGTGTAAAATTATATGTTTCTTTAGCTTTCTCAGAGCTTGAAATTTATTTGTCACTACTACAGAAAATATGCTATATAAAGTGACTTTATTCGTATAAAAAATGTACAAAAGCAACGAAGAAGTTAAAACATAAAGCAGAAACATCATTCGGTGTGCAACTGAATGGTTCATCGTGTATCAGATTTCGTATTTAAGTTCACAGGTTAAAATTTTTCACTTGACAGACAGTATAATAAACTGATGAATTATATCTTATATCTTTGTAGTATAGTTTGAGAAATTGTACAGAACGTAGATAAAATTTTCAAAAATAAAAAAAAAACATTCTGGAAATTTTGCACGTTGTACATACATCATATAGAAATTGTGACTTTGAATGCAGACGAGATTGTTGATAAATGAGTATAAAAAAAATTAATTAATTGCTAAGAGATTAGTTAACTAATATAAAGAATTAATTGGTAGAAAGATCGGTAAACATGGAGAGACACAAAAAGAAATTTTGGATAAAAAAGGCGTCATTACTGATTTTTCAAATATAATTATGTAATTTTTTTACGTTCATTACGCAGGTCATCTTCTGTAAAAAAAAATATTAACCTACGTATATCGAACAGCTATTAGGAGATACTTTAACTTTAATTTTATAAAGTCTATCATGTGAAAGACAAGGGACAAGCGCATATTCTTATCCTTTATGCATAGATTTTATAAGAAAATTTTCTAAACTAATGAGACGTAGATAGATTAATATTTTTTTTTGTAAAGAACAACCGGCAGCATCGATTGATGTAAAAAAAAATTACATAATTATATTTGAAAAAAGTAATCGTGATTTTTATATTTCCTACAAGCGTCTAGAGACAAACTAAGCGTATCAAATTATTGCCCTCTCAAAACAGAAGAAAACGAAAAATTGGAGACATTTTTAAAATAACGACGTCCTGTATATAAGAAAAAGTCAACCAGAATCATATTCCTGACGACATATTCGAAAATCACTGAAACCAATAAGGTGTATCTTGTTCTATATAAATCTATACGTATGTAACTATGTACCAAAGTACACATTTATAAAAGAAAATTCAATTTATAAAAAAAACGAAGTGAAATTACAATGCATTGTATTTATCCACAAGCTGAAAGATAAGCAATCGTAAATGAAATTAATCGATATTCCGATACGTTTAATCTATTCTGTGAAAACTTACGCGCGTAGAAGATTATTGAACGATATCTGTCCCAAGTGGATTCGATTCGAGGGCAGCAATAACGTCGAGCGAACAAAATTTTTTATACACAGACTGTATGTAAAGTTGCTCGTCAACGAAGACCAAGCATGATCCACTGAAATCGAACTGAAACTCTAACGAGACAAAAAATTAATTTTAAACAAAGCTGACAATGAGACGCGAAAGAAGAATTAATAATACTACTTACAACAAACGGTACTAGAATATTTATACTCGGAGGAAAGGGATGTGGTTTCAATTTGAAATGATAAGATAAGAGGCAGCTTTTCAAAGAATGCTTCGAACGAATTTGTAAAATGTTCCTTTCTTTCATTATTCGTATTACACTGTTATCATTCTTATAATAAATAAATTTCCACGTCAAAAGCCATTTTTTCATCATCGGCCGATCAAAGATAAAAAGCAATTTTCAATCTATCGGTATGCGTCATCGATAACAATAACAAAGAACAATTAATCTTTCGTTAAATTCCGCATTATTCCTCTGACAATTACGAAAAATCGTCATTTACACTCATTATATTCGTTATCGTCCTATTGGCAATAACGTCTAAAATTCTATCGTTTAAAGTTAAATGTCAAAAATCCAACTTTATTCTAACGTAGAAACTTATTCCAATATTCGTTATTAGAATTTTATTCTATATATTCGAACATTGTAATATATAATAACGTATATTTATTATATATAGAATTTATTTTTTTATCGTCCTATCAGCAATAATATCTTTAAAACTTTAACTATCTCTTAAAGTTTCAAAAATCTAACTATCTTTATTTTAATATGATAAATGAAAACATTCGTTTTTAGTTTTTTTTCTAGAGGAAAAATATTATTATATTAAATTTATCTGGTAATTTTAAACATATGAACAAGAGAATTAACCTCTTCAGGGACAGTGGCACATACGTACACGTTCTTTTTTTTTTTTTACATAAATTAAAATTAAGTGAAAAAGAATTAAAATCTACTAGGAGAACTATTAATTTCTTCAACAACGAAAAACTTGTGGTAGACATAAAGTGAATAAAAGTAATGAAACAAAAAATTAAATAATTTCTTCTTCATGTTAAGAAATTCGTCTTTAAAGAGGGTAAATGTGTCGTTACTGTAGATGAACCACCCTTTACATTGATTCGAGAACACGGAAGCGCATCCGTGCGAATCGAACTAAACAAACCTACATATACAGGGTGTCCGGCGTCTCGTGGTCAACCAAATAGAAGGTGACTCCACATGCAAAAATGCGAAAATTCGAACAGAAAAAAAAAACACAAATTCTTCATTAAAGCTTTCGTTTTTGAGAAATTAGAATCTAAAAATTTATCAGTTGTACTTATATTTTAGCTAATTCCGTACTGGACAGGCGCGAAAATAAATGAAAAATGTAGAATAAAATTTTTTTCATTTGAAGTGTCATTTAGAAGAAAATTACCATAAGTACCACGTAATACTCGATAAATTTTCAGACTCGATTTTCTCGAAAACGAAGATTCTCGTGGAAAAATTTCATTCTCTCTTTTCGCCGCATCTTTAACACACAGACTCGTGAAACACACTGTATATTTACAAATATTTTCTCGAATGGAGAATCCCTGAGATATTTGGCAATTACGATAATGCAACAACAGCCTCGGTTAAAATAAAATCGTGAACTACAGGCAGGCCATTCAATTTCGTAATTACACGCAACACATCGATACGCACCGCGTTAAGCGTATCGAGAATACTGAAAACCTCGTAATCGTCTATCTTGAAATCTAGAGCCTCGGCAAATTATCTAATCTACCTGTGCTATTTTTTGTACGTCATAGTAATGACACGAATACGAGTCCCAGTTTAGACTGATGTATTTCGTTCAAACGAAACACCGGCTGTCACGTGTTACTACTGCATACTATGTTCGTGGTAACGTACGCGAAGATGCAGAAACGAGAAACTGCAAAACGAGGAACAGAATTCTGTTCCGGGGTAACCTCTCGCAACGAGTATGCAAGAAAAACAAAAAACACAGAAGCGCGAAACAAACGACGATCGCGCGAGGTGACGACATTTCGTATTATTTTTGGTTATTGTTTTCGGTCATTCTCAGCAACCACGTTGTCGAGTAGAAGCGTGGGTATAATAGCAATGATATTTTCGACTTAACATTGAGAGCTTCTCCAAAGATAAAATCACCGAGAGATAATATCGAAACAATCGACGTGATATCATCTTCATCCGCGTAAAACAGATCGAGGGATGCTCGTTTCCGAATATTTGTTGACGAACAACTTACGAAAAAACGACACGTTATCTCCACCATCTGTCAAACGATCTCCATCCCCCGCGATACGCGGACAAAACGTAACATTGGTACGTACATGGCGCGTGGTTCGTTTGTTCTCTCGATTCTCGACTCTTCCGTCGTGTTGTCGGATAATTCATCAAGGTGCGTGCACATCGATCTCGAGATACATCGCGAGAGAAATCACGCTGGTGGCGAAAACCGACTCGGTTCGCGGGGATCGTCTCGCGATGGCAGGTGCAGGACAATTCCCCCGTCTTGACTTTATAACCTCTCTCTTTCTCTCTCTCTCTCTCTCTCTCTCTCTCTCTCTCTCTCACCTTTCATCTCGCCGATAACGTCCCGATAGGGACAAGCGCAGGTTTCTACCTGCAGTCGGAGTTGCACGTAGTTGTGACCGAGAAAGCGAATATGTACCTCCAACGAACCGCAAAACTATCAATGGATACGTACGCGACGCTCGTTCCAAAAACAAAAAAAGAAAAAGGCGAAGGCAGAACCTCGTTAATCGTGGATTGTACTCACACGTCGTCGTCGTCGATTTGTTCCCGTTTTTATCGACCATTAGCCAACCTCGTGCGTTCTCGCACTCTTCATGGTTGCAATACTCGTCCCCTCGGAAAGCCACAGACAATCGCAAAGCCTCAAGATGTGAGGATTCGACGAATTTCACATAGAAAATAGGTTTCCTCGCGTACGACGAAACGGAGGTCGTCTGTGAACTGACGCGTTCCGACTTCACCTCGCTTGCCAGCGTTCGCCGCTCCACCTGTCGCCAACACGTAGATAGCTACGCCCGAGCAGATACCTACCGGCCTCGTGATTGGCACGCGTCTGCCGTGATTTGTTCTCTGATTGGTCGATGCCTTCTCCACCGTTCCGTCGCTTCTTCGACGAAATGACGAACGACGTCCACGCCAATGAGGGACGCGTTGGGAATCGAGTTGCACGATGTCTAAATTCAAGTGCCAAATACGATATCGTGCGAATTAACGTCATGTAAAAAGCGTTACTTTTATATCGGCTATTTTTGAGACATCTTGATCTTCGTGAATTTGTAATTTTAATAATTGCGTAATTTAAGTCTTGTCATTTTATAGTACATTGAATGCAATTACATATATATATATATCATTAAATGATTTATGCATACGTGAATTACAGTTAAATAAACTAAACGTGATCAGAAAGATTAATTCCGATCAAAAGCAAGGAGGTATATACGATAAATCGTCGAAATACATATTGTATTTCAATTTCAATGCAAATATATTGGTTAATAACGGAAGATGAAGAAAGACTCGTGTCGCACATGTGTATAGCATATCTCTGAGTAATACTTTTATAGCATAAACGTGTTGTTTTTTTTTTTATTATACAATAGAAAAAAATTCGCAACGTGATCGAGAAAAAAAGATCTCGACATGCATAGGGAGAACGACGACCAAAGTTAGTTCGAAGTTGTTGCGCGCTCGGAGATGATTCGCTTGCAGTTCGTCGGAACGAGGTAGACTTCCGGCACCTTACTGCTCGAATGGCCGACGCCAAGGTTGCCCTCCTCCTGTCAAATGAATTTAATTCCGTGTCGATCGAAATCATGTAAACGCTCGCTAATAATTCGGGTGAATCGTTGAAACGTTGAGTAGATCAATGCGTGGATCGTGGAGTCGGGGTGTGTCTCCGTGGTTTTAATCAACAATAACGCAAGAAGAGAGGCACCGGTGTTTCTTCTCGGATTGTCGGATCCACCAAGAGGGTAATCCTGTTCTTTGCCGGGGGTGCGAGTAACTAGAGCGGCCAACTAGAGCCGTTTGCGACATCGGGAACCGAGTCGCAAACGAACGATTCAGTTGAGAATGCAATTCAGATGATCCGATGATATACTTGACAGCCGAAATCGACATTATGAATTCGAGTTAGTGTGCTTTCAGCGATGTCGTGTGACGAACTATTGTATACGCGAGGTTTGCTTTGCTTTTCCAATATCTATCCGTTGAGTTATTCTGTTCGCAATTCAAGTGTGAATCGCGTTTGATAAATCGAAACGGGAGATTGACGCTCGATTAACTTAGGGAATCCCGTTGCACGTGAAAATTCTTGCCACACACTGCGTCTGTTTGTATAGAACTTCACTGGGAATGGTGTTCCCTAGCTGTTGAAAAAAAAAGTTGAATCGCAATTGAGAAGTACAGTATGCAAAGCGCATTTCATTTTTTAATTTCATGTCGCTCCGTAAATAGAATGCAAATACCGTGAATGCGTGAATATCGGGCATTTGTCTTTAAATTTATGTACTTGCGTTAAGTAACAGTAATTGTAACATATCTGCGCTTTATTTTTTAACCCTATCAATATAATTGTTGGAGGAAAATAATACGTGCATTCATACGTACAATCTTTATACAAAGATGTCAAATTAAATAATATTTAACCACAAGTGTTATGTATTGTTACGTTACAATAATATTATATACTATGTTGCAGACATAGTTATGGAGGATAGCATGAGTGTTAAATCAATGGAATCAGTGGCAACAAGTGACGAATATGAATTTGTAAATGACAGGGGTAATGGAAAACATCAACAAACATTAATCAGCGAACTACCAATGTTAAAAATTGCTAATAACGGCAATTTTGAAGACCTTCAGAATAATCTTCGCGAGGTTTGTACATACTTGTACCATTTATAAATATCTAGCTTTAATCTGTATTATCTTTTTCATTACATATCAATAATTATCTATGTGTCTGATAAAAACATATAGGTATTGACAGAAGATTCAAAGATGGAAAGCAATGATTACAAAATTGTAAGCAGTACCCAACAAAATCAACCAAAATCTAAAAAAGTTGGACAAAGTAAATTTTATGATGTAACTTCATGTATGGTTGCATCTGAAAAGCAAGACATTATGAAACCAGAAGATTATATTGATGAAGGTACAAATTATAATTTTGCCAACCATGAAAAATATTTTGCAGAATATAATCATTTATTGTGTTTCAGAAATAAATTCCTTAGCTCATGTTCAACAAGAATGTACTATTTTCAATGGTGTTACTTATCTGGGATCTGCAGCAATAAATGCACCTAAATCAGAATGTGAAATACAGCGTAATATGAATATATTAAATGCAGAGCAATCCCTTAATTTGGGAATTAAAGTATCTGTTTCTGTTCCAAGTAGTTCTCAAGGTTCTGTTGTGTATGTATGATCATTGGAGATTGTAGTGATACACATGTTGTTTCATTTTACATTATATTCCACTATGTTTATATGACAGTTTATATGATGCTGCTACTCAACAACCAATTGCACATTATGAAGTACAACGAATCTTGTTTTATGCACGTGGCGAAAGTGTTGGTCCATGTGCAGCATGTTTTGCTTTTACATGGTCGCATGGGGATACATTGGAATCTGCCATTTATCAGTGTCATGTTTTTCGATGTGATATACCAGAAGCAGTATGTCTAATTTTTTTTTTTTTTTTTTAATATGATTATATTAAATTTTAATCAAAGTGTCAATTGTAAAATTTATTGTAGGTAGGGCAAGTTTCAGCTTGTTTTTCCAAAGCCTTCCATAGAATACCACGGTCGATGACTAGCTCTCTAACAGGAAGTGATTTCAATGGTTTCAATATTGGAAGTGAAAAAACCAATTCTCGAGTATTTATTTTCGAAGTAACAATGGAAATAAAAGAAGAAGATGGAAAAGGAGGTTTCAGTATAGTTCCTAAAGATAGAAATTGTTTCAAACTTCGAAGTAATGTAGCTAAACAAGTGTGTTTAAGTATTCAGCAAGTTTCCAGCAAAGAAGGTGGAATTACTCTTGAGGTTGAAAGATGCTTCGGTGTTCTTGTTAGTCCTGGACGCAATGTCAAACACAGTGATATGCGTCTGCTTGAAATGGTAAAATTAACTATTTGAAAATTAAGTATTAATAATACGATAATGTTTTTACTTTTTCAGTAATGATAGTATTATTTGTAGCAAGTTAATGCTGGTCCGTTAATTCAAGATAAACAATGTTACAATATATGTGGGCACTGGGATCCTGCAGATCCAGCTTTAGAAACTCTTAACATTGAAACTCCAAGAGAAGGAAAAATTTACATGACAGTTGCTGTTGATTTAGTAATACGTGGTATCCGAGAACCTGTTAGGTTCATAATAGAAACGTTAGTTAAAGTTTTTCCACAAAATGAAAGATTTTGGTACTTTAATAAACGAAATCTTGTACAACAATTTTATCTTAATTCAAAAGAAGTAAGATATTACTCACAATTTACAAATTTAATTTATTAACATTCATAAATTTAATATGGATTTATCTTTATATAGATAATATCTGGAGACGGAACAGAAGTTCACTATGAAGTACAAAGCATAGAAACTTCAGGAGAACTGGACAGAAACCGATTAAATCTTGCTCTTAATTTAGCATCGCTAATTCGATCTCCTTCTTTAACTAGTATTGATACGCTTACACCCAAGGAAGAAATAGATTCAGGTTAAAATAAGATGTTTAACTATTTCATTTAGTGAAAACAATAGACTATATTGATTATGTTTTTATATTAATAGATGGAGATGAACCAATGTTGAGTGGTACAGGTGAAGTATCAAAAGATTGTTCTGCAGACGAATTAGCTAGTTGGGCAGAAGTGCTAGACAGTTGGCAAATTAATGAACAACGTCCAAAGCTTCTTATAAAACTTACAAAGCAAGGTATTCCGGAAGCTTTACGCGGAGAAGTATGGCAACGTTTAAGTAATTGCGATAATTCTCAAGAAATGATGGATAAATATAGGACTTTAATTACTAAAGTAAGTAAAAATAGTGAATGAAAAACAGTATATATGATAATTATATTATGTTATATCTATAGGAAAGCAGTTGCGAGAGTGTTATTTTAAGAGATATTAATAGAACATTTCCTGCCCATGACTTTTTCAAAGAAACAGGTGGTTTGGGACAAGATTCTTTGTATAGAATAAGTAAAGCATATGCAGTATATGATGAAGAAGTTGGATATTGCCAGGGACTTAGTTTTTTAGTTGCTAGTTTATTGCTTCACGTAAGTAATTGTCATCCAATGGTTTACATTTGTAAGAAGCATATTCGCATTTTTAGTAGTAATTTACTAGGGTATGTAATGACAAGAAACACATTAGGTATTTCTTGTAGATGCCGGAGGAACAAGCTTTTTGTGTTTTGGTCAAGTTAATGTATGACTATGGACTAAGAGATTTATATAAGGATCGATTTGACAACCTTCATATGAGATTTTATCAGCTTAACAGATTAATAGAGGTTCGTGATATATTTTAATTAATTATGAATTATTATAATATTTATTACGAGCAAGTAACCTTTTTAGGATCAGCTGCCAGAACTTTATAAACACTTTTGCGATCGTGGTGTAGAAACACACATGTTTGCTGCACAATGGTTTCTGACTCTATTTACAGCCAGATTTCCACTTTATCTTGTTTTCCATATTCTAGATGTATTCCTTTTACAAGGACTTGATACACTATTTCAAGTTGCTCTCGCATTATTAATGGTAAGTAGTAATTTTTTTTTTTTGATAACATTTTTTTATAGGATATATCATTGTAAAAGATATGTTTCCATAGTTGTGCAAAAAGGAACTACTTCAATTAGATTTTGAAAGTATATTAAAATACTTTCGGGTGCATTTGCCTAAACGTTGTCGAAATGAAGAAATATCACGCTATGTCATGAAGTTAGCTTGCTCAGTTACCTTAAAGAAATTGAAGAAGTATGAAGCAGAATTTATGACGTTAAAAGGTAATTTCATATTTTATGTTTGAATCACGCCAATATATGTTTATTAGTACACACCTGGAAGTCATATAAAATATGATACTCCTTTACGTGCATGTATAGTCTGTATATATGTGAAAAAAAATGTTGAGTGATTATAAATTTAACTTTGTTATGTCGAAACGTTCGGCTTCATTGTCATATTTTAGAATCAAATCAAGCAAATATTTAAACATTTAGTCATTTATTTTTTTCATTCATTTCAATATGAATGAAAATTGAAATAATATATTTCTATTTCATCTAGTCCTAATTTCTAAGGAAATTAATAGTGTTTTATAGATTGTTAAATTAAGAAAGAAATAAATTACATTATAATTACATAGTTTTATAATACATTGCTAGGTTTTCCCCAAAAGATCATAATTTCATGTTTATATACAAAAGCATAAATTATGTCCATTTATATAGTTTTGTAAAAAAAACTTTAGCGAACAGTATAATATAGTTGCAAAACATATTTGCAAACTTATTAATTTGTGTTTTCAATATAATTATGTTAAAAAACAATTTATTGCATTAAATAAATAGTGGAATAAAATTCTTTATATCACGTAGAAAGTTAAAACTATTATTTGATAAAAATTTAATGAAATTTTTTGTTTCTTACATTTATAAATAAATTTTTTTTTACGTCCGCTTGATAGTCCATTCAATTTTGTACATTCAACTTTGTAATTTGTCATATATATTATCAAACTTTATGGCAGGCTAGCTGCAAGCTATGTACATGTGCTGATAAAATATGAGTTCAGCAATAATTGTGCACGAGCATAAGATTTCAACCAGTTAATAAATTACGATATATATGATTTATGCTAATTGCTTATTGCGTATATTTTCTACAAATATTACATTAGTTCCAAAAAGATTCTATCAGTTTCAAAAAACAAATAGTAATGAAAAATTATAATTATAAATTTTAGACTGAACTTCTTTTGATTCTATAAACTGGTTGAAATATCATAGCTGCTATGTTATAATAGCAATATACTCTTTGCAAGATTTATATATTTTTTTGTTTTAATTGGTTGCGATATTTTTTCGTATATACTAATGAAGCATAGATTATCAGCATCACTTATTATGAACAAAAAGCACTGTCAAATTGTACTCATTTTTTTATTGAATTATTTATGTTGTAATATTTGTGAATTTTTGTAATTTTATGTTGTTTATAATAATATTTCTTTGCGCTTATGCAGCCATAATGCTTTGTATACTGTCTTGTGTATCAATTTTTATAAAAAAATTATTTATTTTTTTCTTATTAGAAATAAATTGTCCATTTAGAATATCGTTTTTAATTTTGTCAATTTACCTCTGTATACCCTGTTCCTTATTTTGTACGAGAAAGTTTTATGTTTTTGCTTTAATTAAAATCTATGCAAAAATTTACAGTTTGATTGCAATATTTCAAAAATCAAAGAAATTATGCTATATAAAATCTATATAGAATCAAAAAAATTATCAAATTATTTGCAAATTAGTATTTTTATAATGTAATACTAAAGCAATTTAAACAAGAGTTTGTATACAAAGTTGTTAAGGCTTATCAAATATTGAAATCTATTGGTAATTATTCTATTGCAACATTTAAAAATTATATTATCCTATTAGGTAAAGTATAGATTAGATATTTTTAATTTATACTTATTTGTCATTTCTTATATCTTGAGCGCGTTGAAATTTATCAAAAATATTATCTGTACATTTGCACAAACTATGGCAGGCAACCGACATATAGTTAACAGTTGTGTCAGTAGACACATGGTATGTTTTGCATAGAGAATATATGTGGGACATTGGTATCTCCTTTTGCAAGATATCGCACATCGGCCAGTTACATTAAAAACATTTCGTTTTCAATGCTTCACTATTGAAATCATGAGCCATTTTATAAAAGCATTAATAGAGAGTAAGATTGTATTTATAAGTTTCTTATACAATCATAATGAAAAATCATAATATTTAAACATCCGCTAAATTTAATATAAGTGTTTCAGTTTGAAGGCACATAAAATATACTATATAAATCTATTTCAAATATGTTTACGCTAACATTCATTTTATTTTTTTCTTGTGTAGAAGCGCAAGAAAATGCGGATGAGTATAGCAATGAAGTGGAACAACTACGCGGTACAGTAGCGAGAAACGAAGAAGAAAAACAGAGATTAGAAGCCGAATTGGCTCAAGTTAAGGAAATGCTACAACGGGAAGTTGCAAGAGCAGATGCAGAAAGCCGACGAAGCAATATTATTATTGCTGAATACAAACAGGTATACGTAAATAAATTATATTCATCATTAACCATTAATTTTATTAGAGTCACATATTAAAAATTTATTTTAGATTTGTCAACGTTTGGAAGATGACTACAATGCTGCAAAGACAACACTTAGTGAATTACGAGTAAGTGGAAGAATTCCCATTGAATTCATGTATGGTAATTTATAAATAATCTTGTTTTGTAGGCTAAAGTTTCAAAATGTGATAAGTGTAAAAGTTGCATAATGGATTCGTCCAATATATTAGCAGACATTGCACATCCTTTAGAAAATCGAATAGATCCCATGTTGCACAGAGTCCAAGAGAGAGTACGAGAATTAGAATTAGAGTTAGCTCAAACAAAATTGGCCCACGTTGAAGCTGAATGCAGAAATCAGGTAAGTAAAATTATTTATTATTTCTGAATATTTTCTAGAACTAGATTTATAAGATCAGCTTGTTTTGTAGGATTTGACGCATCAGTTGCATGCAACTGCTTCTGAACTTCAAGCAGCGAGAAATAGTTGGCCGTGGCTTAGTAAAACATTATCTAGTATAAAAGAAGCGGCGAATAAAAGAGAAGTAATAGCCCCTTCGTTGATGAAAGATTTAAGACGAGATAGCGCACCTGGAGGTGAAATGCATCATTTGATACATTCCCGTAATCGCGAGACTCGTGATAATCTTAAAGAAGTTGTGTGATTCAGTAAGTACTATTAAAGTGCATAAATATAATAAGGAACGTTATTTTGAAGTAGAAGAACAAACTTAATTATAATATGCTATATATTAAAATATATTAAAATGTATTAAAATAAAGTTATTTTAACCAGGCGAAGTGTCAGAAGAATTCGTACATTACGAGAGAAAGACCTACTTGAAAAACAAATTTGAATACACAATGTACGTCCATGATTACATATAGTATTTTACTTGACCTGTTTATAATATACACTCGGTATATTTTATGTCAGGTTCCTCACGGACGCTATTAATCGCGTGCTTTTAGCGAGGGCAGCTTTATCTTACAATTCTGATATTAACATTGAGATATTACTTGTCCACATTTGTTAATTGTTTTTGTATACTTATTTTTACCTAGTTTGGTTTGTAAATTATTAATTTTATTTGAAGTCTGGCATCTTAATGAGAGATTTCACGAAATTGAGCGTTCTAAATAGCGAAATTGAACGATAGGACAAGGCAAGAGATTACAACAGATGTTAGCGATAAGTTCACTACATTTTGTATGAAACTAGTCTAAGATGTGGAAAATAGTAATAGAATTTACTGTATATAAATAGCACTCTCAGGCAACTAACAAATGTAACAGACTGCAGAAATCAGAGATTCCACATTGAATAAATTGGATTATGTAAAGCAGATTATATTTCTGCAATTTTCATTTTTTTTACTATGTGGATTTATTATAACGACATTCCAAAATCATACATATGCTTTTCTAAAATTAAAATTTTATTTTAACCGAAAGATATTAAAAATAATTCTTCAATAATTATTATTAATTAAAAAATATTTATGATACTTATTAATGTATGCGTATTATGTAGCTAATTCTAAATTGTAACGAGTAATGAAAGAGAAATGTTTCACGTTGTTTAATTTTTATATATAATTGCAAAATACTGNCAACATTTTGTAGTAAGTATATTGACAGTTGACATATGATACATATACACATGTATTAGTCTTCTGCAATGCAAAATATTATATTTTTTTCGTTTACCTTAGTTTTTTTTTTTTTTGAAGAATTTGGCTACATAAATTCACAATTGCTAAAGAACATGTATGTATATGCGCGTGATGTAAATGTATATTTGATTATCAGTTGTGCTTCTCTTTTGAATAGAGTCTATATATTAGACATAAGGCCATAAATTATGTTAAGGCACTACTTAAAGTTAGAATTTAATCAGATTTTTAATAAACACTTCAGTTACGTAAATAATAAAATTGAATAAATATTCCAAAATGTTTGAAAGGATATTTTAGATTGTAAATCTAGCTTTATGTGCATATGTGTATGTGTGTGTGTACTAATTAGTGCCATTCATTTGATGGAATTATTGGTTAATTTATTTTGTACTGCTTGTATTGTGAGTTATAAATTTATAATATTAAGAATTAAATTAAATATCATGCCATTATCTTGCATTGTAAAGTTTATGGAAGAGATTGGTAATGATTATTTTTATTTTATTTCTTCCCTAACTGGTAATAATTTAACTTCAGTTTTGTTAATGTAATATTTACTAAGTAACATATACACGACTAAAGCGAAGTTTATAATCACTTCAGAAATTACAATAATAGCTAACAATAATCTAACATAAAACAAAAGATATACTTTGTGTAAATACTAAAAAACTATATATAAAGATAAGCTACTAACAAGTCATGTAAAGATTTTAGATTATTACATATATATCACTGTACACCTTGTAATGCCATTCCACTATTACTGAAATAAAGAAAGATATCATCTGTCTATTTCATAAGTGTTTCAATGTTGCATCACTATTTTATTGATAGTAATACCACTAGTCTCAGTATTACTTAATTAGTAATACTAAATCTTAAATAATGTAAGAATTGAGAAAAATCACTTCTTTAGGAGATATATTTTATTTTTTTTTTTTTTTTTTATGAAAATGAAATGTCTTGGATAGATTTCAATCTTAGATACATTTTAACATATAATAAAAAACATCATTATAAATTAAAGAGGTATTTATTAAATAGATGTAAGTAGTAATCCCAATAACATAAATAAATTTTTGCAAACCATATATAGATAAAATAGCGCATCGCAAATTCTACTTAAAAACGATATGATGAGAAAGTCTTGAAAATCGTACGAAAATATATATCTTTTTTAAATTCGACTGTCTTCAAGTAGTAATAAGCAAATATTATTAATAATATACAATTGCATACGGATGTACTGATGTTGAAATAGTGTTATGTTATTAAAGAACATCAATTCTTCAATAGATACAAATATATTAATAAAGATGATGTATTATTTGTTTTTATGCGATTATTATCAATATAGAAAAAAAAATTTTTTTACATATTTATAAAAATATATGTATAAAAGGAAAAAAAAAAAAATTAAATAACTAACTTAACCCTAACAAATTTTTTGAAACTTTTTTCAGAACTTTAAAATACATCATACATTGTAGATGTATTCTAAAAATAGCTTGTAAAGAAAAAAAAAAAAAAAAATAAGATCAATAAGCAATGAAAATATTGTTCAAAAATAATTCACATCTCTATTTTCAGACTTTTCAAATGTATTGTAACCTGATATGTGAATCATTTATATTATTATTTCAATAATATCACGTGTCATTTACAATCCATTGTTCACTCCCACTATCACTATTAGAAGCATTTTCATTGTCGTTTTCATTGGCATCATTTACATTATCTCTCATTTCATTATTTTCCAAATCACTGTTCTCTTCAGAGCTACTATCAAAACCTTCGTCGCGTTCCATATTTACGTATCTTGCATTGTCACCTGCTTATAGAAAAAAAGTTATTTTTATTCAATGTTTGAATGCATAGATTGAATTACCTGCTACTCTGTTTGGAAATACAAGTTCCCTGTGATCCTGTATATGTATATCAACTTCAACTGGGTTGGCCATATTAAGTATTCTAAGTAACCATATAGGAAAGTCATTCTCTACTGCGTAAATATCATTTTCATTTTCAATATCATTTTCGAGTACTTCAATTAAGGGTTGTAAATCTTCCAAATTGTTCAATTCTGCAGCCATCATATTATTACCTTCACCATCTCTGTTATTATTTGCAAGATCACCATTTTCAACTTCGATCACGTCGGCAATTTCAAGTCTCGGTGCTTCTGCTATACTTGGAGATTCGGAATCTGATATATGATCTGGCGCTATGCTTGATAGATCGTATTCCGGTGTCATATCCTGAGCGGAAGCGGAATTTGGATATCCAGAATCCATTACTTCCTGAGACCAACTGTTTGGAGGTGATTCCACAGTTTCTGGAGAAGGTTTTAATTCGAATTCCCCAATATTTGGGTTTATATTTTTACATTTTGATTCATGATTCTCTGCATTATATTCAATTAATTTTTTACTTTTCAACACTGATGTAGATTCAATATCTCTTGTATTCTTGGCATGGTCAGATACTAAAGTGATATTTTCTAAATTACTAATATCTTTGGCATGAGACATTTTGGTACTATTTACATTTTTAACGCACAAATCACAATCATCATGTAATTCAGGTTTTAATTCAGTCTTTCCATCAGTATCATTAATAAATTCTGTGTAAGACTTTGATTTAATCATTAATTCAATTTTTGTATTGTAATTTACCGATTGTATATTATTTGTGTTTGCAAGAAACTCTTTTTGTTCTTCTGCTAATATTTCTTTAGTTTCTGTTTCTAATGTTTTATGATTTTTCATGCTATTGTTACTATGTAAGGAATTTGCATCAAACAAATTCTCATTTAATGTACAAGATATTGTTGCTATATTGCTACTAATAAGCGTATCTTGATTAGAATTATTTATTAACTCGTTTTCACTTTTCTTTTTTATGTCATCCTGATATGTAGAAATATCAGAATTATCAGCTGTACAAATATCTCTTGAATTAACAGCTAATATAGTCGTTATATTTATATCATTGTTGTTATGCAATACTTCGTCCCTATTTTCTAATAAATTATCGCTGCTGGGATTTGTTAACTCATATTTCTGCGTTATGTTTAACGAATTGGTACTATTTTTCTCCTCCTTATAATCAAGAGATCTTCGCTTTTTATTTATGCTATTTACTTTAATCTCTACCTTCGGCGAACTTGTAAACTGTGGTTGATTGTCTAATGGAATACTATTAGCAAACATTACACTACTTGGATTTGATTGCAATTCATCTTCTAAGTAAGAATTGCTTTCCGAAGTATTAATATCTTCTTGGACGCTTTGTATTTGATTTTGACTAAAACAATTTGCTTCTGCATTAGCCTCACTATCAGAATTTTCATCTTCTTTGTATGATGTATTTAAATAATTGTTGTGTAAGTGAATACAATTGTTAAAATTATGTTTCAATGATGATTTCTTGTTTTTTTCATCATTTACATCTACAGTGCTGTTAATTGATACATTTTCTTGATCGAGTGAATTATTTAACATCCAGTAATTACTTTGACTAGACATACTATTATTTTCTAAATGGCAGTCCATTTTAACAGCATCTAAAAGATATGGCTCAGGTGAAGTAGAGGCCCGTGAAACGGACATGTAAATTGGAAGATCTAATGTACGATTAAGTTTAAATGTAGTACTTGATGTAGCATTATTTTGCGTATCTGATGTATAAAAATCTTCAAATTTTTTTGTTGAGGATGAGTCAGATAGCTCTGTTGATTCATTTACATATGATGCATCATTATTGTCAAATGAGTTATTGAAATTATCTGTGCCAAGTATTGGATCTAAATTTTCTTCATTGTTAATTTCACTTCTAACAGAAATTTCAGTATTTCTTGTCGTTTCAGATTCATTACTTAATAAAACATTTTCTTCATCGTAGAGGTTAATATTGTCTTCAATAATAGAATTATTTTGTGGTATAACAATACTTGGTTCTTCATTCCAAATTTCATTATCCAATACATTTGAAGAGCTCTGTTCTAAATGCCTCTGTTGGAAATCTATATGTGGTCCATGTTCTGAATTCCAATCCTCATCTGCAGGAGAAACCTCAGGATTCCAGTCGTCTATTGAACTCTCAGAATCAGAAACTGGCGGTACTATTACAACTGGTCCAGATTCACGATTTTCAATCAACCAACCAGCTTCTTCTAAAATTACTTGCAATGCAATCACAGAAATGCGAAAGTTATATAACATAGGTAATAATGTATGTAACGGAATTTCTTGTTCCAATTCAGGGTCTTCATATGATAAATATCTAATGTAATATGTAGCATCATCAAGAATCTTTTGTTCATCTGATCGATTGTCTACTTTAAACGGGTAATCATATCTGGTTATTAATTTAAATAAATTTTCAATGCCAGGGTTACAAAATTCAAATTCATAAATACGATGAAATACAGCCATTTGAGTACAACATCCTAAATGTTCTGAACCTTCTGGGCCTTTACCAATTCCTTCAAATGTTACTGTATAACTAGGATATTTTAAAGTAATATTTGTAGCCCTGTTGACAGAGATACATACATATATAAGATAAATGCTTGTTTGTCACATACAGCGAAACTAAATTTAGATTTTCAGATTAAAAAGAAAATCAAATGTCATTACCATTTTTGAAATTGTTGTCTGGTCCATTCAAATTTGTGATCATAATGTCTAAATCTAAAAACATTTGAAAACAAGACATTGAAATCCGCATTTGGGGTTGTTATCACTGCCACTTTTGGTCTGATAAATCCAAAGATATTTTGAGGAACCTTTGCCAATGTACTTGGATGCAAATGTTCGATCCTAAAATATCAAAATATTCATCATACGATTATCATACATAACTGTTCTATTTTTGTTTTTCATGGTTTTAAAAACTAAAGTTAGAAATAATTAACTATGATAAACAGCCACCCACAATTCTATGCATATTACGGCATCTGTGTTTTCTAGTTTCTTGTCATTTTCAGTAACACAACCCTTATATATCTCAACCACAAGAGGTGTAGGTCTCCTATTTATGTATTCTGATATTAAAGGCGCAACCTTTTTGTGGAAATCTAGAACTGATTCATTAACATCCACGCATAATATTTCTTCTATGCCAGGTGTACGTTTCATGTAATTAAAAAAACCAAAGTTTCCGCATCCAATATCAGCGATCTAAATGAAAAAATCATCAGTTTTTCAGTAGCAATCAGAAACATAGTGAAAAATTCATTGAATTATATCACATGTAAAATTATATATTTCATGAATTATTAGTGTTAAAATATTCGCAAAGAAAAGATCATTTACTGAACAAAAAGTTTATAAGTGTTCGTACTCCATTTTACATATGACAAAGAAAACGCGTTGGGATACGGAGAAAGTACGTAAGATACCTTGCGTATTTTTCCTTCATATTTTTCACTAGACAATATATCCTGCACAGCTCTGTATCTCTGCATGTACAACGGTGGGGAAAATGTAATAGGCTTTCTTTCGAAATCTTGCGGTGCTTCAGGATCTCTCATGTTATAATCTTCTTCAGAAATATTTAATTGCACCTCCGTGTTAATCACATCATCGTCAATGGCTTTTTGCTTATTTCGATAATTTTGGTATACAAATTTGCCGAAAAGGTAAAGCACGTGGAATAGTACAATAATCATGTCAATAATGAAAAATTAATCGCAATTTCGATCACTACTGAACTTTACTAGTATATCCCGAACTCCGATTTACCTGTCTTGTGCGTATCAATATCGACCATATTGTTTTGTTTAGTTGGCAAGTTGAATCTGATTGGCTAGAATTTTAGATTAGTTTAAAACGCACCAATACTAAAATAACATTGTGAAAGCCATAGACATAAGTATAGAAATAGACCGACAGTGCAATGTATTTTTTTGTTCCACGTTTTAGGGACATTCGGGACATTTTCGTGTCATGTCCTGTCGTACTGATTTAAGTAGGTTTTGCATCGCAGCACTGCTGAGTGATGAGAATTAAAATCAAAAAATATGGACAGCATATTTACATCAAAAAGATGTCACATCTGCTTCGAGAGTTATTTATTAGATTAAACATGGTGATTCTTCATCAATGAAGGAATATATAATGATTTGAAAACAGCGATTGGTGGAAACTGGGATGAAAAATTCATTATATATTTGATTATTTATATCTTGTTAAAGGTATTAGAAAAAAATTGATTGATATATTTATAAGTATAATTAGATGAGGTTCTTTTAACTTATTTTAGTATGTAACTACAGAATCTGAATGAATCCTGCAAACTTGATTTTAAAAAAGCTTGGAAGTACCAAACGTTTCCACAAATATTCTTTAAGGTATAAAGTTATATCGTGTGGTGCAAATTATTGTTTGTAAATCGTTCGTTTTCAAAATTTCGAAGTTATTTGCTAAGACGAATTCAATGACTTGCATACGAGGTCATTTGTTATTATAACTTGTTAAAATTTAATGAATTATTGTTTAAATTTCAGGAAAACAAATCGTATAGTTAGTTTAAGAGCTCACTGTAAAGAGGAACTTTCAATTTTCAAGATAATGATTGATCTAAGCATGAAAAAAAATTGTTCAGTGATGAAAAAACTTCTCATCGGCGAAACATTTGAATTTTTTCAAATTTTCAAGAAGAAAAGTTCTTACTTTGACACTTGTTGCGTGATGTAAAAATGAATATCTTTGAACAAAACAAATTATTAAAGTAGAGACTCTTTAAATTTTAAAGTTTTAAAGTTTAAATTTAAAGGTTAAATTTCACTCTTTAAATTTTAAAATTTAAAATAATAAAAAAATAAAATTATTTGTTCTACAATTTCTTTTTCACGAAATTATAATAGTTTAAATATTGACAATTTTTCATCTAGTATATGAATATTTTCGTTTCTTCTGAAGAATTTCTCATGAATTTTGTGTATTTGATTTAAACCAGAGTTTTTTTATTTCTTATTTCGAGTCAACATTTCATGCAAAATTCGCGCGCATTGGATTTAAATTAGTTAATGATTACAGCGCCAACGGCGAAATACGTAACACACTTCCTACGATTCTCGACCGATAATCGATATTTCTCATGATCGATTTTAAACTGGGAAGTGGCGGTTAAAAATGGCAGAAGGAAGTACACCTTGTCTGTAAAGAAAATATTATTATCTAGAAAAATCATCCAGAAAGTATTACCTAGAAGTTCTCAAAGGTAAAAATTTAAATCAGTAGTTGTTAGATTTGTGTTTGTGTTTTGAATTTTTAAGATAAAACGTGCATTTTTGGCTCCAACTCGAGGCAAGACTTAACCAAATAATTATTACATATAATTCTCAACAATTAAAGAAATAATAGCATATAAACGTTCAAACAGAATATACTATGCTAGAAGATATTTATAATTTCATATCAAAATTTCAATTCTAACCAATACCGATATTGTAACCTTGTAATTGAGTAACTCATTGTTACATATATATATATATACACACGTATTTTATTATATGCCTTTATACATACACTTCTATTATAACATTTTCTATTTATTCGTTGACTCTTTAACTTCATGCTGCATAATTTTTAACAATTTTTATATTAAATTCAACAATATTCAACAATAACTTAGTAAGAATGTACGTATTTAATAATTATAAATAATAATTTTACTGCGTAACATAATGAAATTGTTCAGTTTTCAAATAAAGTAAAGCGTAGAAGGCCTTGAGGCTCGAAGTAAAAAAAAAACAACAACACAAACACAATGTTTATGCTCATCTTAATTATCGTGTCTGTTCGGACAGGATCATCCCATCCTTACTGTTTTCTCAATTGAAGGACAAGAGGTGTCGCAGAGAGTCATTCGGCTGTCGAATTTCGTGACAACAACATGTGGTACGTCGCATTAGGTTCGTAAATTTTTCTAATCTGTCGATGGCGTCTCTTTTACTTCCATTTATATCTCATTAATAGTATCATTTAATTAATGTAATTTAATTATGTGTTTGACGATTCATTGAGCATTTAAGATAATGAAATCGAGTAAGATTTTGAAACTTTTCGTGTCGATTTTTCTTCGATTATTGATTTTACTCTTGCGATTATCGATATCTTGTCTCGTATGGTTTTTTAATGAAATTTGAAGTTGATTATCATTTCACTTTTATATATTTGCCTTCATTTGACATATTTGCTCTAACTTTTGGTTTTTTCTTGTGCAGGTCATTCCTTGGTTGCAAAGATAACATAGAATGCAAAGACGCCACGATTAATGAACAATATGATGAACTTTCATGGAAAGTTGGTAACATTTTATTGATTTTAGGTAACATTTGCTATATACTATATATATATATTTGAAATACAATTCACAATACGTAATTTTTTAATTATATGGGATACAAGGATAAAAATAGAAAAGATTAAATTAATTAATATTTTATTTCGAATATAGAGATCGTACATACTTTCAAATCGATATATATTTTTGTATTAGATGCGTTAATTTGTTCATTAAATTCAAAGTTTCCGTACTATACTATATCTTGCTACAATATACTTTTTTAGAACGCTAACGTGCAATTAAACAATTCAGAGTAAAATTTCACACGTGTATGATTTTTTAAATACATTTAGTACAATATTTATATATTATATTATATTTATTTATTACTATATATTTATATATTATATTATAATATATTTATATATTATATTATATTTATATACTACTAATGTGTATACTTGATTTTAATAACGAACATTCAGAATACAATTTCTACAAATATTTCTGCAAATATTGAGAAATACTGTATAATTTCCAACTAATATCTTTAATGCATACACAAGTTTATAATTATTTTCTATAAAGTTATAATCATTTTCTAGAAAAATAGCAGTATTTTCTAAATGAACGTCCTTTCCCTTCTAATCAGCTTTATTTTCAAAAAATTTTTGTGGCCGCGTGCAATGCGGTCAATAGAGTCAGTGTTTGTTGCGCAATATGTTAATATTTTTCTGAGCAAAATGGCTCTCATTAAATTAGATGAGATTAATTTATTTAATTATAATTCGCGAAGTTAGAGTCAGTGAGTCCACCGATTATTATTTAAACGCGGACATTGATAGTCTTTTATTTCTTTTTTTCATATTTTTTTCTTGTTCCACATTCATTTTCGCTTATATTAGAGTCAGTGCATTAGAGTCAGTGCTCAAGAGGACAAGGCCTCTCCAGGAGATCAAGATCGTAAGTAGTTTTATATATTGTATCTTAATTTATTTAATTTTTCAAATTTAACGACAAAGTATAATGTTTTGTTACAGACGCTTCACATCAACAATTTTTTTGTAGTTTATGGGGGAAAATCCAACGGTGGCTCTAAAGCCAAGAATGTAAGAATCTCTCATTATCTTCAACTTAAGATTTTATTCTGCTTTTAAACATAAATTCTAATATTGAGTGTTTTGTTACAGATTTTTTACAATCTGCATTTCCCCTATTCTTTTAAGGATCTTATGATGCTTCAAAAGCTAAAAATGTAAGTACTTCAGCATGTTGTATTTAAATTGTATTCTCTACAATTCTCCCTCTATTGAAGTCGAATGTAAAATTATAATTATAAAATAAAAACACTTTCAATTATTAGTCTCAATTTTTATTATTATTAAAATTTAGATTTTCACAAATGACACTGTGTTTTTAGAAACAAAATGTTTTATGTTTTTTAAAGAATTTTTCACGGCGTTCACTTTCATCATTGGATTCTCATTGGTGTTCATTTGATGAGGATCTTCACGATAACTTTCTCTGCTCCAGTGCAGCATCGGTGATAACGTTCTTCGCATCTATACTGTGAGTCGCATGCATTTATGTTCCTTCGGTTACTCAATCATGTCGTAGGATGAAAGGTCTGAATCGGCACGGGTGACTGATTGTATACGTAGAATTTTTGATGAGCATAGTGACCGCGGTTTTTTATACCCGTGAGTAGTAACATTTTTTTCAGGTTTTTTTATGTATTAGATTAGGATAGGGCTCCTTGCACATCGCGATTTTAACAATTAAAATATATATACATTTATCGTAATTACTTATAAAATTAAAATATATCTCCAGTATAAATGTTTGCAAAAGAAATGTTTGTATTACGATAAATGTTTGTACATATACATTTATCGTAATTACTTATAAAATTAAATGTATAGTATAAATGTTTGCAAAAGAAATGTTTGTGTTACGATAAATGTTTGTATATATACATTTATCGTAATTACTTATAAAATTAAAATATCTTCAGTATAAATGTTTGTAAAATATCCATATGAATAGATAAATTATAAATAATTATTAGTAAAATGATTTTATTTGAGCATTTCATAGTAGAGAAGACGGATACCCTCCGACTTCGTTGCTATGCAGTTATTATTTATTGATACTGGTAATATATTTCGTTATAATAATTAATCATTTTCAACTTCATCTTCCTTTTTATAATAGTATTAAATGATTTAATTAATCGAATTTTATAATCATGAACTTCAATACAATTTAAGATACACGTATGAAAGATTAGAATCCCTTCTGTAGAAAAAGGTATGAAATTTTATGTGCAAGGAGATACCTCGCGACAGGCAGATTTTTGAATCAAAGCAACAAGATGGAATACTGCTTTCGGTAAATGTGCTTTGATAAAGAAATCGCCTGAGGTTATTTCTATTGATATTTAATTTAGAGTCAATTGTTTGATTTTGATTGTTTGTGTCAATTATTAGATTTCATAGTATCTTGTTTAATAAATTCAATTATTGTCTTTATTCTCTTTCTTCAATTTCAATAATTTTTGAAAGAATAGAGTCATAATGGTTTGAAATAAAATAATGCAATAGTTCGTTAGATACAAATTATATAAACTAATCATTGTTTTAGTTCAGGATTTTCAGGTTTAACGCCTTCCGTGTTCATTGTCAGGATCTCACTCACGTGTCCAGGTGCTACTTGGGTGGGTGAAAGACATTGGGCACGATGACCATAGTTTGTAATTTTATAAAAGATTTCTTAGCGACTGACAATGTGTTAGCGTATCGTGCACGACGTATTTTCCTCATGTGTGTGTGGTTAGGATGTGGAATTGCGTCGTTTTTATTCTCATTCGTTATAAATTGTAATATTTAAAATATTTATGCTCTAATTTAAAGAATTATGAATTTATTATCAAATACCTAATAAATATGAATTTATTACCTAATAAATACATTGTAATTAAAATAAATACATTTTAATAAAACACGCTCTTATTATAACTACACTATCAATTATAATAGTGACTCCAAGTCAACTTACACGTGTAATTTCTACAAATATAAAATTATAAGTATAAAAAATATATGTAAAACAATATATATATATATAAAATAAAAAATATATATATAAAATTATATGTATAGAAAAACATATACAAAATTATACGTATTTTGTCTTAGTTATTAACACTAACTGTAAATATAAACGTGTTTCAATCACTTTTACGCAATGATCGCTAGCCATTGTCAGTCGATTTCAGAAAAATGGTACGTACATTAGAGTGTGAAAGTTGTGTGTTAAGCTCGGGTGTCGGAGGTGTCCCGGGACGTCCTCTCTAGTTTAGGCCTGCGCCCGAGTAGAATGTGTGAGAACCGTGGAGTGAGTGTGTTGGTGTGGCTGTTTTGCTATTTTTTAAAAATATAGAGCGACTGTTAGGATAGGTAGCATACTTTCTGGTGTGAATGTGTTTAATTGTAAGTAGGTAGGGCTGGGCAGGTTGGCACAGTCTCTGGTCGCGTGTCCCCTTCTCGCGTGTCCAACCTGTTTCAGGAAATCTAATTTGAAAACTCAGTGAAATTGGTACAAATGGATCATGCCACTTGTTTCTGGTTTTACTCTTCGATTTTTCGAATTTAGTACCGCGGTCGCGGTCGCGGATAGGTCGCGAATAGGTCCCGAAACGAACGTTTACGTAGGTATTGCTCGAGTACGCACATGCGAACGTACAACGATCGCTACGATCGATTTCACCTTTATAGGTTATTTTTTTGGTTTACGATTAGAAAGACTCGAGCTAGATGTAAGTTTCAGCGGGCATTGCGCTCGAAGAAAGAAGAAGCTAAAAGCTGAAGAGGCCCGGCAAACTGCCACGAAGAGGGTCACAACAAATGGCTTCTCATCCTCTGGATCATTTTCAATGATTCCAGAGCATGGGAGGTCATTCTCGTTACTACTTTGTCACTATGCTCTTTTAATATTTGTAGTTGTATCTTTTTTTCTTCTCCATCATCGTTCATCGTCGTTTTGGGCAAACCGCGTTTTTTTCTTGTTAGTGTTGCGAAAAATCGATTACGGGTTGAATTAGAGTTACGAGATAGTTCCGCACCCACAGTTTATTATTAGTGTTGTGAGAAATTGATTACGGTTTAAATTAGAGTTGCAGAAAAATGATAATAGTGTTTGTTTTAGAGTTATGAATATATTTGATTTCGCGATTGTGAATTTTTAAAGTTGTCTTAGAGCTATTCATAATGAAATTTATCTTGCTCTCTATTGTTTTGAATTAAATTCTAGAGTTGTTGCTTTTAATTAATTTTACAGTGTCAGAGTATTTTAGAAGTAGCCCGTTCGTACAGTTTTGTATTGTTAATAATAATTTTCATTGAATTTAGCTTTAGAGTTAGTGTCGCGACATTATTTCATCGCGATTTCCAGTTTTACTTTTACTCTTAGCGTTGCGATAGTGAATAATCGCGTTTCTTCATGTAGCGTTGCGTTTAAAAAATTACATAATATGTATTATCTTTACAGTTTATTTTATTGTCCGATCAAGATACTGAGTGTTTTGTAAATGTTTCCAAAATTAGTAAATTTTTGTTCATAAAAGAAGAATGAATGGGTCATAGATAAGATTCGCAGCACTTCCTCGTGGTGATTTTCACATGGGAAATTATTTGACTAATTGCATTATTATATAGTTAAACGGTTAATCATATAACTGATATCGTTATTAATTACGGCAAGTATGAGTTGATTGATTGTGATTCTGACTAGGTGTTTATGATAGATATACATATCCATTAGATTAATGAAAAATAAATAACATATAGTCTTGACATATGGGTAACTAATTTGTTAGTGTATGGAAAATCCATATTTGTACGTATTTCATCCACATTTTTCGTACAAGAATATTTCAGAAAGTTTAGAATTGATTATTTCTCGTACAGTTATGTCTGCAAATGAAAGGATTGTTCTGTCTTCTTTTCTTTAATTCCTTTCATATTGTAATTCGAATTTTTGATAAAATTTATTACAACTAATAGATTTTTTAATTTTTGAAAATTCAATATGATTAACCCTTTGTCTTCAAAATGATTATTTAGTTAGTTGAAAATTCATTTTAAAAATGTTTCATAAAGTATAAATCATTTATACTTAAAAGCTTATATTAATAACTTTAGAATTTTAATGTACTATATATAAAAAAAAAAAAAAAGGAAAGAATCATCGTAAGTTCATGAAACATAGAACTTTACTTTATGATACATGGTAGAATATTTCAGTGTAATAGATTTCAAAATTGCACTCTAATGGATTTGAAAAATCATATCTTCAGCGCATTCGCTACTTCGATCGTTTCACTTGACGTAGTTCTCCAATTCATCTTTCTTTAAACCACAGATTTTTTTATTTTATCGATATTTTAGAGGGTACAAAGTCCCATAAGATTCAATGGCTACATATATGCATATCTCGTCTGTATTCATAGTTTTTTTAATTGTGACAAGGGTTTAAAGGAAACAATCATTTACGCAGCAAATTCTCGTAATATAATTTATTTGAGATTTAATATAATAATTAAAATAATAATGCGATAATTATTAATATTGGTAGCAGTTTACTAATTTTCTAAGAAAGCGATGGTATACACGGTACATCGTTTACATAAATTAAAATGACAGTCGACTTTCTTTATAATACCTTTGTAGCGTCTGTGTCAGTTTCGTAGCATTGTTCACGTGTATAGTGGAACATTTGTAAATCGATTTACGACAAATTCATCATTGATTTGCTCGCGTTATTCTGACTTTTTTTTTTTTTTTCTTTTCTCGTTCCCATTTCGTCATTAGTAGTAGACTGAAGAATATAGTTTTATATGGTATTTCATATATATATATATATATATATATTTATATATTTATATGTGATTTATTTATAAGTGTATGTATTTATAAGCGCGCAAATATATTATGCACGAGATCTCTCGATGGCTGTTATGCAGCCTACAGGAACATAAAACTTGATCGTTAAAATTTATTATTCTTGTCAACGCGGTTATCTACATGACAATCTTTTGCAGAATTTCGAAGAGCCTTAATGTCAAGCTATTACATATTGTGATATATATAATATATATTTCATTTCATCTTATTTACAAAAGAACTGTTTATAGATTCTTCTCTAATAGAATATGTTTTTTGTCTTCTTTTTTAAATGGGGATTGTCGATAGTTTTCTTGTACCCTTATTCCGTTCAAGGACGTACCGGGCATATATATAAATTTGCCTCGAGTGGAACACGAAATAGAAAACGTTTCTATGTATTTTTTTTTTNTCTTCTTTTTCTTCTTCCTTTTTTTTCTTTTTTTCTTTTTTTTTTTCTTTTAATATTACACAGGTACCCACAAGAATAATTTTTCTCATTCCGATAAAATGAGATAGAAAGGTTAGACGACCGCCACATACAATATGATCGATAAATAAATAGAGTGTTGCTGGTACGGCGTAAAGAACGATCGAAAAATATTATGCTACGGAGTAACACGTGTCTTACGAACATTTTCAAATCGCATCGAAAAGACATTCGTAAATCTCGAAAAATAACTCGTGCTGCATCAGATTCAGCAAATGCATCACATATACATATTATATAGATATTGATTATCTCCGGTGAATTTATGTTAGATAATCTTGAAGATTATCTAAGGAAATTCAGGCGCCAAGCTAGTCGAAACAACAGCAGTAATACTTAAGACTTAGAATATAGTCGTCGTGTTAAAATATTTAATGTGGTGCTTTAAGTACCACGAGTTTCTTTCTTTTTTTTCCTTTTTTTTTTTTTTTTTTTTTTTTTTTTTTTTTTTTTTTTAACGTTCAGTATTCACGTATTTCATAGTAATACTTCTCGTCGTCGATATTTATTACAGCCGCGATAAACGACAAATTAATTTGAATCACGTCTTCTTTTTCTATTCAGTATAAAGTATATCGGTTCGTTTCGATTAGCTTGGCGATAGAATCGATGAGCAAGTCTGCGCAACGAAATCTTAATGGAAATGTAATTAGAGTGGCACATATTTTGTCGATAGTGGATGAAATGTACGATGTCTGTTGAACGATATAAGAAGGAAGATATCGCGTATCGTAAACATACTCGAGAATATCGTATAAGTTTTGCATTTGATGCATCGAAAGCTTTCCTTCCGGTTGTTTTTTTTTTTTTTTTCTTTTCTTTCTTCTCTTTTTTTACGTATCAGGAAAGTGTAGGTATTACAATATAAATGTATAGGCAGATGCGACAGAACGGTATACAGCGTATGAACGGCACTTAATCAATTTTTATAGAGCGCATAAAAAATTGAGCTCAGGCCTGTTTGATGGTACGATCGCGCGTATGGTCACCTCTTTTAAAAACGTTCGCTCGTAATCTCGTTCGTGATCAAGCGTTGCTCGTCAGTTGATCGAAAGCACAATGGTTCGTAATTGACGAAAGGGATTCTTTTAAAAGTATGAATGTTGTGCCATCGTCGTAAAGTTAGTGTGTCAACGGAACGCGTGTCGTGGTTTTCTTTTTCTTTTTTTCTTTTTTTTTTTTTTTTTACTGGAAAGAAAAGAAAGTATCTACCTAGGATGGAAAAGTTTCACTCGGTTGTACCACGTTCTCGTTCCCGGTCAGGAAGAGAATTTACTCGATTTTACGCTCGGTCGTGGAAAAGAAAAGAAGAAACTACAGCATTTCATCGTTTAAAAGTTGTAGATTGTACACCATGCAATTTGACAACGCGAGCTCGTGAAAATATAAGTTACGTTCATGCGAATGGGATAATATAAAGAGTAATCTCGCCGAGGTTCCCCTTCCGCGAGCGGCAAACATTCTCGATTATCTTCTCATTTCCTCTTCCATTGTTACTCAGTTTACTGTTTCGCAATCGTGAAGAGATAATTATCACTAGATAACGTGGTTGCGTTACCGTTAAAGTTCATTATATATATCACAAGTGTTGAAATTGTCCACGCGCAATATATTCCGTGATACGTAAAGATTTTCTAATTAATTCTCGAGACACTACAGTAAATATCACATGGAGCGATGAGAATTTCAATTATAATTAAATATACAACGGCGATCGATCGGTGCCGATAACGATTGCAGCCGTTCGACGAACAACGCAGATCCGCACCGAGTCGATCCCGAGTCGATCGCCGTTTCTAAGAACTTGTATAATATACTTTCAGGAAAATACAGATTTCAGGCGTAAGATTGATCCAACGATATAGCGATTTTGTTCCCTTTCTCCACCCAGTTTCTCAGCCGTCCCCTCAACTCCTCCAAGCTTTTCGATTTTGCCTTGTTTATCCTCTTGTACTTTACGTCTTTTGGCTTTGTGACTGATCGGTGATTGCTCATTACCCTGTTGTACGTGACCTGTAAAAAGACGAGATTTGAAACTGAGAGTCCGACAGAGAGAGAGAGGGAGAGAGAGAGAGAGAGAGCTAGAATCTCAAAAGTGCCGTGCAGAGAAGCAGCGGAAATTTAGAAAGATAAAAAAGCCAAGTTGGAAGTACGATTCTCCGAAAGGAAGAATGTACGTACATGCATCGAGTCTTCAAGGAACGAAGTGCGACGGTGGCGTTTATCGCGCGTATGCAAATAGGCTAACGGGGAGGATTTGAAGAAGAAACGGTCGGTACAAAAGACGGTTATGACAAAGTGAAGCCTCGGACAAAAAAAAAAAAAAAAAAAAAAAAAAGAAAAAGAGAAGAAAAGAAAAGTTGCATACCTGCGCCTGCTGACTCTCGTCCCTTGGTCTCTCGCTGGGCGGGGAGTCTGCCTCTTGAGCGAGTCTCTCGAAACTGCCGTACAAATCTTGAAGTCTACCTTTCCCATTTCCCAAGTTCTTTGTCCGTCTCTCTTCGCATTCGGAGTTCTCCGTCGATTCGGACGGATCCTGATTATTTTCACTGTCGCCGTCCTCTTCGACCGAGTAAACGGTCTCCAAGATTTCCGGTCTCCTGAGGAAGCCGTTGCATCGCCGCATCGACGAGTATTTGCTCGACGGTTCGACCGCGTCCGAAACCGATCGGATCACCGTCACGTCGGTGATGTTTGAGCGGAACCTGGTGAAAACATTTGACACTTAGACACTTGGATGTATCTTCGTTTTAGAACGTGATTCGTTATTAACACTCGGACGACCGAGTTTAAGGATGTATATTCTGGTAATCCGGCTTGAAAAAAATCGACTTTCTAGGGATTTCTTTTCTAACCACGATACATTCTGGTATATGCAGTTTTTGCACACAGATTTATTCATACTTGAAGAGTATTTATAATTTTTTTTTTTTTAACGAAATTAATGAAAGTTGTGGAAATTATATAGCTTTAAGTAAAGCATGTTTTTAGAAACGGGTTCGAATGGCTAACGTGACACGTGACGGTTATTTGAAACTAAAAAACCAAAATGCATCTTAATTAGTATAAATATGGCTATCCTATGGACCACGGAAACAGCGAAATTTCGAAAATTAAAAAAGTGGCAGCATTTTGAAGTTTAAATATCGATTTTTCTAGTGCTTTTCGTCTTTCTGGATGGTAAAAAAAAAAAGAAAAAAAAACATCAGATTTTTAAATCTGTAGATCATGCGATAAAGATACATCCGGTGAAGATCTTTTTCAAATTTCAAGTCAATCGGTCAACTAAAACGTGAGATATCCCGTCAGCCAGTTTAAAAAATATTTGAGAAAAACACAATCGAGCAGTACAAAAAATAGAATATTATAAAATAATAATAATATAAATATAAATAATAATATTATAAAATAAAATATTTTTTGAGAAAGACACATTTGAAGTTTTTGTTGCACAAAAATATTCGTACTTACGAGTACTTGCGAGCAGTACACCGTTTCCTACATCTATAACTTTGCTAATTTTCCTAATTTTCCGTTTCCTAAACATCTATAACTTTGCTAATTTTACGAATTCGAACAAATCCTTTTACATAGACATTTTCGAAAGCATACACTTTGAAAAAATGTAAAAAAAAAGTTGCTTCTTTTAAGCCGGATTACCAGAATACCCCTTTAAATCTGATTTACACAGATTTTCGAACTGTATGTCTGAACAAACTATGAATATTTATTCATTTATGGTAAATTTTCAAAGTTTCTGCAACATGACAAATGTATAAAATATTCACACTAAACTGTACGTCATAGTATTTAGATGAAATCGATCTGTACTTTTTAAACGTTCGGAAAAGTATAAATATTGAACAAACATTCACGTTCGCGCGCGAATGACTTTATTTTTTTAAAAATAAATGTAGTTGTCACATCGAAATGGAAAGTCTTTTCTTATTATTATTGGAAAATAATCCAATTCGCTGGACAGGGATTGAATCTGTTCATTTCAGATGATGTAATGTCTATCAATGTGAAAATAACGATATATTGTTGGAAAGATACCGAGAAGAAGGTTGAATCTTTCGGTCAAACGAAGCATACGCGTACCTCGGTGGCGCTAGGTCGTCCGCTGCTTCCTCGAGAACAACAGCGCTGTCGCTGTCTCCCAGGCTGTCCAATCTATCTAGAGCGTCGCAAGGTGGCGAATCCCTTGTCCCGGTGCTTCTTTCCGCCAATCTGCTTTGCAATTGACGAATCACCCTCTGTTGTCTGAGAATAATGGACTCTCGTTGCGCCAGACTAGCCTCGATCTCCTTCTGCTTTCGACAGAGCCTCGATTCGAACAGTAGCAGCTGCGAGGACAATGTCCGGAGCTGTTCCGCCTTCTCCCTCGTCAGCCGTGCCACTAGGTCCTCCTGAAATAATTATACCGCCCCTTGTTGAATAATTATATCGCCGGTGACTTTAGCGAATTTATATACACATGTCAGTCTGCGCAGTTTCGAGACCGTGGCAAATGCACCAGTTCTGCGTGATTTTATCGACGTTGAATTAATCAGCAATTTGTATTAGCTCCGGGAGAGCTTCGAGAGCTCACTCTTTCCCGCTTGTAATCAGGCAACGATTAATCACGTTAGCTCATTATCGATAATTAGCGAATAGAAATCACTTGATTAACGATCACTTTTTTTTCCTCTCCCTCCCCCCCGCCTCCGCCTCCTCGAGAGTCTTCATTGGGTTGTGCATTAAAAGAGAAGATGCTGTAAAAGTGGGTGTAAAAAAAGTGGATTCAAGAAGAATTGCTGCGAAGGCGATAATGATAAAATTTGCATCCATCAAGTTCGTCGCGGTCTTAATTAGTGAAAAGATTCGTATCTGCGGGGCGCTGGCACGCACACTATGCCCGCAACCTAACCGTGAGGCATCTTCGATTTGACCGTAATTTGGAATTAATTAGGAGGCCCCGAGGGTTTGCGCAGACCGCATTATGGCGTGTATTGTGGCAACGCACCGGTTTATTGCATCTGTTTCTCTTTCGCTTCGATTAAGCGTCTGCATACCGAATATAACAGGCGTTCCACTTAATACCAACGAATACATTTCATGCGACGCACCGACGGGGCTTGGCTCGCGTACAAACAATTATTTATCACCGTCGATAATAACCAACGCGTGGCAAAAGTTTTGTCGCGATCAATTACCGGATGCTCGCAGTTTACCGAAATCTGCGACGATTTAAGGCCAAGAAAAAGTTTCCCCCGCAATATTTCGTTGGGCAACCAATTGTGTGACTCGCTGATTCATAATCAGAGACGAGTCACTATGCCAAAACCAACAACGATTTATCTTTGTCGAGACGAAAATTCTAATGGAAGATCTGTTTAGTCATCGAGACAAAGATTCGACGATATACGATCTCCACTTTACGTTCAATATATACAGGCTGTTTTAACCTCTTGCGCTGGAATGATGTGCCACGAACGTCGAGAATTTTTTGTCCAAAAATTGTAATATTTTCTCAGTTTTTAACTATACTTAAGTAAAACAAAATAGGCAAAACAAATAATAAATTTATTACTTCTCGATAATTTCTGTCCGGTGATACCGTACCGACGAGAGTTAAAGAAAAGAGAGCGACGAATTATTCTATACGGTTTGGTCACTCGTTATGGTTCGCAATCAGTTGCCAGCGCAAGTGATTAAGGATATTTATAAGTAATGCTGTTTTCTGAGACTGTAGAAAATTTTATTTTATTTAAAAAGTTAATACAGCTTTAATCTGTAATATAATTTAACAATAAACACACTAAATGTCAATGTGTTAACTAGAATATAGGTTATATTAGGCATAACATATTATATGTTGTGTTATAATAAGTAAAATTATATATTTAAGTAAAACAAAATAGGCAAAATAAGTAATAAATTTATTATTTATTATTTCTCGATAATTTCTATCCAGTGATATCACACCGACGAGTTCGAAAAGAAAGCGACGAATTATTGTATACGGTTTGGTCACTCGTTATGGTCTGCAATCAGTTGCCAGCGTAAGGTTTTAATCTCTTGCGCTGGAATGACGTGCCACGCACGTCTTTCTGCCCCAAAATTACAATATTGTCTCAGTTTTAAGTATATAACTTTTTATAGAACTTTTTGTCCCAATAAATATTGCAAAATTGCAATATTTTCTCAGTTTTAAGTATAATTAAGTAGGTGAAACAAGTAATAAATTTATTATTTATTATTTCTCGATAATTTCTATCCAGTGATATCACACCGACGAGTTCGAAAAGAAAGCGACGAATTATTGTATACGGTTTGGTCACTCGTTATGGTCTGCAATCAGTTGCCAGCGCAAGTGATTAAGGATATTTATAAGTAATGCTGTTTTCTGACACTGTAGAAAATTTTATTTTATTTAAAAGTTAATACAGCTTTAATCTGTAATATAATTTAACAGTAAACACACTGAATGTCAATGTGTTTAACTAGAATATAGGTTATATTAGGCATAACATAGATTATGTTGTAATATATTATATATTATAGCATAATAATGTTATAATAAGTAAAATTACATATTTAAGTAAAACAAAATAGGCAAAATAGATAATAAATTTATTACTTCTCGATTATTTCTATCCAACGGTATCACACCGACGAGTTCGAAAAGAAAGCGACGAATTATTGTATACGGTTTGGTCACTCGTTATGGTCCGCAATCAGATGCTGACGCAAGTGATTAAGGATACTTATAAGTAATGCCGTTCTTTCTGACACTCTAGAAAATTTCATTTTATTTAAAAGTTAATACAGCTTTAATCTGTAATATAATTTAACAATAAACACACTAAATGTCAATGTGTTTAACTAAAATATAGGTTATATTAGGCATAACATAGGTTATGTTATAACATATTATACATTGTAGCATAATAATGTTATAATAAGTAAAATTACATATTTAAGTAAAACAAAATAGGCAAAATAGATAATAAATTTATTACTTCTCGATTATTTTTATCCAGCGGTATCACACCGATGAGTTCGAAAAGAAAGCGACGAATTATTGTATACGGTTTGGTCACTCGTTATGGTCCGCAATCAGTTGCCAGCGCAAGTGGTTCAATCTCAACCGTCAGACCTTTGGAAAGTTATTTCGAGCGAAAGATTTGATGTACGCCATTGGTCGATTTGTCTTCATTTTTAAAAAGAAGAGTAATGTAGGCCACAAATAATCGAATACATTCAAGTTACTTAACTTTTAATGATAACCATTTGTCTTGAGGTTTTTTTTTTATATCGGTTCAGACTGGTTTACAAAAATTGTTCAAAATGATTGCCTACTGTTTCTATGCACGCAGGTAAGCATGCATTCGTATTATTGATGGTAATAGCAGTCTTCCTGACTTTTGCTATCAATTCGTTGCGTGTATTTTCCACTTATATACATCTTTAACTTCATACAGCTCTATATAAAAATGTTTCATACATACATTTCAATCAATACGAGAACAGTGCTGTAACTCGACAGCTACGAATTGACTCCGTTGTTATAACATTTTCTGCTTAAAATGATCTCCTAAACATGTTGCCAACATCTGACGGTTGAAATTTGGAACACCCTATATAGTATCGATATCCTGTATATAGTACCCTATATATTCGATTTTAGCCAGAGAGAGAGAGAGAGAGAGAGAGAGAGTTTCGAACCTAACTATTATACAAGGAGGTGTCCTCAAATAAATATACATCGAATATTATTTAACGACTTCTTCACCCGGTCGCACAACAATTTTATCTGGGTTTAGAAAAAAAATTATAAACGGCGGTTGTTTAGCATCAAGAAACTGCAATCCCTATCTCCTATCTTTCTTGGATGCTATTTTTCGTCTGCCGAAGGAACTTTTTTGTTGCAGGCCATTTTTCATCGGTGTACGGAGCCACCACGCGGAACAAATTTTCGAGGGAAGTTCGTTCGTTCGAGTGCTAACTTTTACACTTTGCCAGTGTCACGACGACGTCGGCCAACCGCCTTGAATTATAAATGTTCAGTTTTTCCTGTCAATTTTCGAGTAACTTGAGCGAGGGCTGACGTTGTTATCGCGTTAGGGATGTCATGTTCGATGTTGCAAATTATCTTTTGGATCATCGATCGTCCTCGTCTACCACTGGCACATGACTAACGTCATTGTCATCTTCCTTCGATTAATGTCCCCGTAGCCGCCGTAACAGTTTTCCAGTTTAAAGCCGCGCGAGAGGCGATCGTAAATTCTTGGATAAATCGATTCTCGAGCGCCAGTGCCGGCTTTCCACGTAGAAGATAATAAGATGGTAAAACGCGGGGTACGTGAGTGTTATACACGATGCGGAAACGTCGATTTGGCACTCGAAAAATCTGAGCGTCGATTTAGTATTTAAGGGATCAGGACAGTTTGAAGTTTTCAAAAAATCGATATTTCTTTCGTTTGTTTTAAATAGTAGTTTGAAGTCTTCGAAATAAGATACAAAAGATCCTAGGCCTTTAAAACGACTTGTTTTGGGGTATAATAATAAATCCGCGAATAATTGAATTTGTACCACTGTTTACAACTTTGAACAGTATTATAAAGTGTAAATCGTGTGATTCAAATATTACTTTTGACGAATTTAGGGGATTTGGATGCAATTTAGTTAACTATACGCTACGCTATTAATAAGTCAGGACAGTTTCAAAATTTTCAAAAGATCGATTTTGTTTTTTTTTGTTTTAAATAGTAGTTCGAAGTCTTCGAAATAAGATACAAAAAGTGCTAGCCTTTAAAAACGACTTATTTTGAAGTATAATAATAAATCCGCGGAAACAGAATAATTGAATTTGAATCACTGTTTTTAAGCAGTATTATAAAGTGTAAATCGTGTGATTTAAATATTACTTTTGGCGAATCGAATATTAGGGGACTTGGATTTAATTTAGTTAACTACACGCTACGCTATTAATAAGTCAGGACAATTTCAAAATTTTCAAAAGATCGATTTTGTTTTTTTGTTTTAAATAGTAGTTCGAAGTCTTCGAAATGAGATACAAAAAATTGCTAGCCTTTAAAAACGACTTATTTTGAAGTATAATAATAAATCCGCGGAAATAGAATAATTGAATTTATATCACAACTTTAAGCAGTATTATAAAGTGTAAATCGTGTGATTCAAATATTACTTTTGGTGAATCGAATATTAGAGGACTTAGATTCAATTTAGTTGTGAATTGTAAGAACTGTGAGCCGCGATATATAAGTAAAAAAAGTAAGTAAAGGATACGTATGAAAAATGACGTTCTGAAACTTTAAACGCGTTTTTCTCGAAACTAGGTTTTTAGAAACGGTGTGCAAGATATCTCGGAATCTAACCAACCGATTACTGTGAAACTTGTTAC